TGACCCTTGAGCTCCCTCTGAACTTGGACACATAAGAGCTGGCCCTTCCACACTGCTTTCATCTCTATCTGGTTATGCAAGCCTGGGTGTAAGCATTGCCCGGGGTCCCTTGAGATCCTTAGGGAACTTTGACACACCCAGGACTGAGAAAGGCTTTGAAACAAGTGGCACTTGAGGTGGTTTGTTCCATAACTCAGAGAGGAAGCCAGAATCAGGCTTCCTATGGTTGTAACTTCTTATTTTTTACATTTTTGATGTAATTCAGTATTTAGTCTGTAATAACTTGTAAACGAATATTGGGGCTGGAAGTGAAAAGGGGTGGGGTAATTGTGCATGTTTTAAGGATAGATATCCTGCCTATAGGATCTGATTAATAAAGTTCTGCATGTTTACTTCCACACTTAGATGTCCTGCCAATAGGGTCTGATTAGTAAAGTTCTGCATGTTTACTTCCACACTTAGATATCCTGCCTATAGGATCTACTTAATAAAGTCCTGTATGTGTCAATTCTACACTTAGATAACACGCCTGTGGGATCTATCTAATAAATTTCTGCATTGTTTCACTTCCACAATTAGATATCCTGCCTATAGGATATAATAGCTATAACCAGACATCATATTTACAAGGTTAAATCAGATTCAAAATTAGATGTCATGCCCATAAGGTTAATATCAATATTTTATAGAAATCATGTCTATAGGAATTTCGTCGTGATCAAATAGATCCTGCCTACTCCACTTCATTAGATACCATGCCTATAGGACCAAATCAGCCTCTAATATTAGATACCATGTCTGTAGGGATTAAAATCAGCAACAATAGAGATTATGTAATCTGAAACCAGTTTAGTTAATATTAGTTTGACTCGTACTGTGTTGAATTAGTATAAACAACTTACTCCTTTCATTAATGCGGTCTAGAAAGCATGCCCATAGGATCCAATTTGCTCGTTTAAAACTGTTACTGCTTTGCCATTTTTGAATCGGTAATAGACATCATGCTTATAGGGTATCATCAATACACACCTAGGCAAGCCTTAAGTAACAACGATAAAATTGAATCCGCCTCTGTTTAATTAGCAACTACTACAACCAGCAGGCAGGCCTGATTCGAACTTCTTATCTGAGTTATATAATAAATTGGTCTGCTTCAACAACTAAAACTCCCCAGTCTCAGTACTTTGAATTCTGGCCCTAAATGTGTTTTAAGCCATACTATTTATGTGCTTTACTTGAGGAGGTATATATGAGCCTTTTAGTTGTTTACATGTTTCCCGTAATATGCAGTCCTATGTGTTTTGAATGTCGCCTTAGTCTTTTTTTCCTTTAAAACCCAAGAGTCAGCCTAAAATCCCCCCTCTTATAGGAATAGTAGTCCTAAATTCCTCCGGGACTGATAGGAATGGGACGGGTAATAGCATCCAATAGAGGTCGAGACCAATCCGCGCTTTAATACCTTAACGGGGTGGGAACGGTAGATATGGATATGATGACCGATGCGCTAGTACCACGTGTAGCCCCTCTTTTGAGGAGTGATTACCAGGTATTGTATTGATGTGATCCATATTACGAATAAACCTAGGACCCCCTTTATATTCGTTAGCATGTTTAGTTATAACTCTTTCAAAACTTTATTTTATTTTATCACTTACAAACATTTGTGTATTTAAAAATCCCCTCTTATTTGAGCCTTGTTTGTTTACTTGTTAATTGCACAAATTCACAAAGAACTATCTGGCCAGGAACCACTCTAGTGGATCCTGAGGGGTGCCTAACACCTTCACCTTGGGATAATTTCAAGCTCTTACCCTATCTCTGGTTATCAAACATAGTTGTAGTTGAACCCCATAGGTGCCCTAACGCATCTTAAAATCGTTAGGTGGCGACTCTTCAAATTTGCAAAACCCTTTCCCCGAAAGGAAATAGTTGTCCCAACCGAATGTCACAAACCCATTTCCGCGAAGGAAAAAGGGGGGCGCGACAATATACATTATATATTCTTGAAAATTATGCTCAATTATATCATTATGTTTCTACCAACTTTCCGACGACACAAAGTTGTGTTACCGAAAAGCAGGGACTATCTGTATAGGGTAATATATGCGATGTTAAGTTGTGCATGGAATATATATAATATAATTGAGCATAATTTTCAAGAATATATTATATGCATGGAATATATATTTTACAACCTTTATTTTCATACATTCTGAATTGTGTAAATAAATTTTTGAATTTTTGTTGTTAATACTAAAATTATTGTTACAAACAAATTATTCTAATTAATTTTTTATTATGCTCATTATTTTGTTATTCCAGCATTATAGATGCTTAAATACTTTTTATTTATTTAATTTATAAATAATATTTATTTATTCTATAGGTAAGTCCATTAAAGGGAAATCATAATATTAAAAAGTTTAAAAAAATAAATAAAAGAAGATATAATTTAGAGGGTAAAATAGGTATTTGGTAATCCAAAATTTGAAAAATATAGTTGAGTGACCTTCTAAGTGCAATAGGCATAGTTCAGTGACCATGTGAGTAATTGACTCGTCAATTCTATGATGGGTCTTTGCCCCTATTGCATGAATGTTTGATAAAGTATACCGAGTCCTCTTTATTAATGAAATTAATCTATTGCTTGACTCTTTCCAATCAATAATGAATTCTATTATCTCTAGTTTGCTAAGTTTACATCTCAGCCGTTGGGGCGAAAGTTAGATGGTTGTGATTAAATTTAGGCAAAATACATAGGTTACCCCTGAATTATTAATCAAATTCCATGACATATTTTTTGTGCACTAAAATCATCTTACATACTCAATCTTTTCAGAGTGTATCTGATACACACCTGTTTTGCTACGTGGCTTTTGCGTGCTTAACAAAATAGATGAGCTAGTGAAATTGTAAATATTTTGTCTAAATTCATATTTTAATGCCACGTGTTATAATTATAATATTTTCCTTATTTTCTATTTTTATCAAATGAAAAAAGCTACCAAACTTCTCTTTTGTCTCAGATCCTTGCCAAACTAGCAGGAACCCCCCCCCCCCCTCCCCGGTCTTCCCTTCGCATCGTCTCTTCCTCAGTATTTACAAAAATCCACCAAAACTCTGATAAATTTTTTAAAGAAGGCGTTGTAAATTTTCTTTAAAATTGCCCTCTAAACTTCTCTCTTGCTTCTTTTTCTATCATTAAAATCCACCAAAATATCCAATCTTTACCTAAATAAAAGAAAAAATTTATTTCGTGATAATGACTGAAATTCTAAAGTTTACAACTCAGCTTCTTTCATATAAGGGAAGATTTGAGTTTTTTATTCAAAATGGAGTTGTTTAATTAATGGAAACGAAAAACTGATTTTGATTTGCTTTATTTAGTTGTATATGAGATCTGAAAATGGAGGAGGGAAATAGAGAATGGAGGAATTGCAATTTTCAGTTTTATCTCTTTCATTTTCGGTCTTGGGTTTGTTATGGATGAATCATTGCAAGATTAAATTTGTGTGAAGGTTAAGAAGTGGTGGTTATGGCTTTTTTTCTGGTGGTATTAGCAACGGTGGAGGGCAAAAGTAGATGGAGGTGTTAGATGATTTTTTAAATTGGGGATATAAGAGTAATTTTAAATATTTCTCTTAACAAAATAATAATGACACGTATCATGATCATATTGGTACACATATTTTTATAAACTGGTCAAGGAAAAAGAGGTATGTATTAGACACACTCTGAAAAGGTTTGAGTATGTAAGATGATTTTCGTGCTCAGAAAATGTGTAACAGAGATTTTGTCCGTAGTTTAGGGGTAACTTATGTATTTTGCCTTAAATTTGCTCAATATTGTTAATTGTTCTTTTCTCCTAGCGTATCTTATACGGTTAGAAGTGATTGGGATTAAATTTGAGGGAAAGACTAAGATAGTCCCTTAAGTATGGGCATAGAAGTATTTTTGTCCTTCATCTATACTAGTGAATATATAACATCCTTTATCTTTATAAAAGTGGACAGTTTTGATTTATCTCTTAACAGTGCTACTAAAACTAACGGGAAAGGCCTAAAATCATCGGCAAGAGTTAAACTAAACTAAAGAAAGAGAAGAGGACCATTTATTCTTTGCAGTCCGTTGAAGAATTACTGCTACCAAAACTCTCCTTTTAGAAAATTCATAACAAGTAAAAGACCAAAATGCATAGCAAATTTACGATTGTAACGAAGGTTTCCATGTTTCCTTCTCTAACCCAAAAAACGTAAGTAAAACACATAGATCATAGCTCGCATCTCTTGGAAAATTGGATTACATAAATGTCAAACTAAATTTCGTCGATTAAAGATTCAACCTTTAATTTTTTTTTTTTTATATCTTTCACAATTTTAGTTGAGAAGAAACATAAAACAAAAAAGAGATTAAAAAAGTAAATAATTTAAAACTTCACACTTACAGGTATCTCCTTCATCCGCCGTTCCTCCTAAAATCCCCGGAAGAAGAAGAATAATTTATTTTAGAATAATTCTTTGAGCATTAGCCAAAATATCATTCTTGAAATTATGAAGATCAAAAGTATCATTCTCTCTTCTCAATAGCAAATTCCCGTTTACATCTTCCACATTGCCACTTATCATCGTAAAAGAAAATTTTCGTTAGTTTTAACAACTCTGTTAAGAATAGACCAAAGCTGTCCACTTTTACAAATATAAAGGATGTTTTATATTCACTAGTATAGATAAAGGACAAAAATATTCCTATGCCCATACTTAAAGGATTAATTAAGTTTTTTCCTCGATTAAATTTACTCAATATTGTCAAATACAATCCTGACTTTTTAGTGGAAGTTGTCTGAGGTGGCTAAAAATTTGGGGTTTTCAGTAAGAGGACAATATGAAAATTGGTAGATTTGTGCAGTTTAACATTTTGTTCTTGATAATATACTCAAGTTTTCGACAATTGATTTGGATGTAGTTCATAATCTTCTGGACTATGACTTGAAATCACGAAGATAATGCAGAAACACCTTGGCTTGTCAATCACCATTATCATGAACTTAAGAGTGCCACTTATGCCATAACTCGAAGTTCTAAGGTAATCTAACGGTGTAAGAAACAGAATAAAGTACAGGAAGGGGTCAAACTAATACACCTTCGTATGCCAGTATAGGCAGTTGTTAGGGTACAAAGTTGCGCACATTATGAGAGTTTGGAGTTATAGTGATGGGTAGTTTACTTCTTCCTCTTCTTTGGTGGCTGAAGTTCTTCTTCCTCGTCCTCATCCTCCCCTTCTTCTTCCTCGTCCTCTCCGTCTTCCTCATCCTCGTCTTCTTCTTCTACAACTTCCTCCTCGCCTTCATCTTCCTCATCATCATCCTCAGGGTTATCTTCATCATCGTCGTCGTCGTCATTGTCGCCTTCGGGTTCATCTTCTCCCTCGTCGTTTTCGTCTTCACCATTCTCTTCCGCACCACCTGCACCTCCTTCCGGACCTTTCTTGGAGGCACTCTTATTGTTGTTGGGGTTAATGTCCTCCTCACCTTCACCATCTTCATCTCCATCTTCATCTTCATCTTCATCTTCATCCTCATCCTCATCCTCATCTCCGTCTTCATCACTGTCGTTCTCCGCATCAAGCGGCTTGCTTGGGCAAGATGTGGGATGGTCACCTCGCACTTTAGGGTTGTCCGTCAATAGCTTCAAGTAGTCCTGAAAGTGAATGTGAAAATTGACTATCTGAGCTTGTAGTCATCCAGTTTGAGCCATGAAAAGAAAAAGAAAATATACTGTATGAAAATAAAAGTTTCAAGGGTATTGTATATAACCTACACCTATTCTATTTTAAGGGGTTTCAAAGGTCTATTTTACTCATCTTCAAATTTATACCAGAAACATATCAAATCAATACAATCTCAAATTGAAAAACATCCCATCAAACATTAGTTGGTTGCTTTTCTTTAAAAAAAAATAATTATTTGATTGTTCCTTATTTTGGTATGTTCAATATTCACATGATCACCGAGTTGAGTACGTAAACACTAGCCATATAAAACTTATGTGTGATATTGACATGTTAGTGTTGCTTAATCTGAGTTGACATACTACCAAAGGCCGAAGGAACACTCTAAGGGCTCGTTTTATACGAGGAATAAAGGATAATTAATTGGGATTAAATTTGAGATGAGTTTATCCCACATTTGGTTGGGATAAAATCGCGGTATAACTAATCCCGATATTAGTTATCCCAGAATTTGTAGTGTTAATTTTATCCATATGAGAGAGTGGGATAACAATCACAGGATAACTAATCCCAAAATAATTAACCCTGAAATTAATTGAAAAGTTATATAGTCTAACAATCTAATACATAAACTGATAAAAATATGACCGTTCTACTATGACCAACAACTACTACTACTATGCTTCAATCGCAAGGGATTACCTATTTACCAGCTTCTGCCAGATCTGATGTCTGGACCCAGATTGATTTCTTAATTGGGCCAGAACCAACATATTCTATGGATCCATCCTCTAATGGGTCAGACTCTCAGGCCCATCTCGTCTCAGACCTACCTGTCCATTGGCTTTTGATATTTGCAGATAGCATAACTAGTAGAAGACAGTAAAGTCTGATTATATTCCAACACCATCTTTTCACAAAAATACTTATTCCATTCTCGACTGGACCTCAAGATGAGTTAGATTGATGTGACCAACCACACAAAAATTGAAGCTTCCAAACTTCAATATATTCTTCCTTGTATTTTCATTGCATTTTTATCTTCTCTACCCAGCTACCAAAATGAAGCAACTTTCTAGCAAAAATTGAGTAAATTAAATGCTTAAGGAGTTACTAGGGTATCTGTACTGATAGAAAGCACCTGGTAATAGGTGGAATAGTCAAGTTGCACACAAACTGCACGGACAAAATAATAACATACCCAGTATGATCCCACAAATAGGGTTTGTAGAGGGTAGCGTAAACGCAAAACTTACCATTATCTTATGCATGTAGAGAGGTTGTTTCATATAGACACTCAGCTCAAGGATAGCATAATCACAACAGTATGCTATGCACAGACACTACTATCATTAAAAAACAAAAATAAAAAAACACCACTGGCAATTTAAAACGTTTGTTCCATAAAACTCGAGATCAATTGCTCACCAACAAAAACCCAAACCAACCTGGATCGGGCCTGGCTTTACCTGGCCCGGCCCAAAACAAAGAAAAAAGAACAAATGAAAAATCATAGAGACCAGTAGTGCAATTTGATCAGCTCTAAAGGACCTCTAAGCTATTAACCCTAACTTCGAGTAGATCTAGAGACGGTGCACGTTAAGAAAATCTAAAAATCGATTATACGGCTCATTTTAGCAGAACCCTCTATACAGGAGAATAACAGGAAAACAAAAGTAACCATAGGCACAAGTTAGCGTACACCAAAACACTTAAAAAAAGGGCGGCGTACGTTAAGAAAAAATCTACAAATCAACTGTACGGCTCATTTTAGCAGGAAACTCTGTACTGGAGAATATATAACAGAATAAACAAAAGTAACCATAGGCGCAAGTTAGCATTCACCAGAACACTTTAAAAAAAGGGACGTCTGAAGTCAACGTCAATACCTGGGTGAGTGTGAGAACCTGAGCTTTGACTATCATAGATACTACTAGCGAAACCACCAAAGCCTCGCCGGCGCAGGATAGCAAGTTCTGACTAATTACAGCGACGTTGACTGAACCACCGTTAGTCTCCATCGGTAAGGTTCGCCACAAATACACCAACCACCACCTGCAATAACACACCGCTTGATCCAAACTATGCTTTAATCTCAACCGTACAATTTCTTAAACAAACTCGGTAAATAGAAAAAAATCATTTTCTATTAGTTGCAACAGAAGAAGACAGACAGAAGTCAACTGTTGTTCAGAGCTCATTTTTTCGAAATATTAATTAATTCTGAAAAGAAATCTAGTGAAAAAACAAAGTTGAAAAAGATTTAGCAAATTGGAGCTAGAAACTTACCAGAGAAATAGATCTGAGCTTGGATAAAGCAGATCGGAGAGTTTTAGAAGCTAAAAGATGAAAAAAATCAGATTAGAAGCAGCGTTGATTTCTGACCGTTCGATCAAGCAGAGAATCAATAGAGACCAAGAGATTGTGATAGAAAGAGAGAGGACTCTTCGTTCTGGAGCGTTTGGGTGAAGGGGAGGGGGTTACTGAGGAAGCTGCCCGTAATCTCTCTACAAGGGTTCGGGCAGTTAGGGCAGTGCTTTTCTCTGAAAATATCAAGGCGGTTGAGCCTGCCCGAATTTTTTTTTTGACAAGTTTCGGTCTTAGTTTAAGAGTTTATAAATTATGGCGTCGTAAATAGGATAAAATTATTAAAATTCCAAATTTTGTTAGTAAATGTTGTAAATTAATATAGCTCGGCAGCTCAAGATGAACAATTCAAATAATAGTGTCACAACTTGAATTTTATTATATCGTGATTATTTTTGTTCTGTTAATACTTTTCTCATTCATTTTATTTAACTATATCTACATCATCAGTAACTATATTTATGGTGTTCGACGGTAATAGAAGACCCCACTCTTCTAGGCCAATGGGTAGTTCAGTGGTTGCAATGGCTCAGATAAATTAAATGTTAAGATTACAAATTTAGACTTTACTATAGATGCTCGAATTAAAGGAGACTATGATATTTCTTCCATTTTCCTAAAGACATAATCAAGGTGCCAGAATAAAAGGGAAAATTGTTGGTTTTAACTTCTGCTAAAAGCGTAAGCTATATGAATTTTTTACAGTTTTTAATTAACACTAAAATGGATTAAATATAAGTAAATAAATTATTGATGAATGTTATCGAAGTTGTGTAAGAAAATAATGTGAAGAGAAATTTATTTTCACTATCAATCCATAACAATGTATTTAAATAATTACATGTTATGTCATGAAATTCTTAAATATAAAACATATTTTATGAGTTATAGTCGAAGAGAGAGAGATACAAAGAATTTACAAACTATCAAATGGTCAGTTAAACACAACAAAATAAGCTTGCAAAAAATTATCCAAATAGCATGTGCTAGCCAGTTTTCGGACTGGTAATTGAAAAATAGTTAGCGTTTATAAAGTCATTAAAAATAGACACTATTTTGTTGCAACACGAAAAGTTCCAGCATAATAAATTAGATATTGATGCACATGTGTATGAACTTCTAGCGTATTATGCTGGAACTCCAGCACACGAAAAGTTTCAGCATAATACACTGGAGATTGAAGCACTTGTGTATGAATTTCTAGCATATTATACTGGAAGTCCAGTATTTTATGCTCAAACTCTAGTATATTATGCTGGAAGTTCACATGTAAAAAATTCGAACTCTAGTATATTATGCTGGAATATATTTCGGATTTTGAACAGTGTTTTCGTTCAATGTCTTTATATGAAAAATAACTAAATTTCGATTACTTTTGAAAACTATAGCTATTTTTCAATTACCATTCATAAATTTGACTATTTTTGAATTTCAACCACGCTCTTGATGTACCCTTCATTGGAAGTCTTGACTGTTAAGTACTAAAGAGCAGATTAGCCCTATAAATAATACTAAGCTAAATCTGAACCCTATGAATATAAACTAGCCCATCAAGAAGTCTATAATGAGGAAAGCAGAACCGAAATTACATACACAAGAGATTATCAAGTCGGAGACAGTAGATGTACGTAATTACAGAATTACTAGCACAACGTTTCCACTATTGCCACCCATACCACAATTCGAATTCTCACTATGTTTACCTCGAAAATACGAGTAACAATTAAATTTGATTTGTGGTTTTAAAGATATGTAATTTAGTTCAGTACCAATTAATAATCAAAAAATATGAAGTTGAAATGAAAGAAACAAGTGTATCAAACCAATGTAACTCAGCAGTAGTGACCTCGAGCTTAATGACCTTGAGATGGATTAAAAGCAATAAAGTAAGAATAAGAAATGTAAAGGACAATTCTGATGAACAGTAAGAGAGAAAAGTAGGATAGTATATTCTTGCCAATGATGAGATGATGTTACAAATGATTAGGGTCCCCTTTATATAATAGGGGAACCCTAAATAAGGTGTATTTCTATTTACAGTAAGGAATATTCTTGATACGGCGGTCTAACCGCCTATTACGGAATTGTACAATTCTATTCCGGGATTTGCGCCATGATCTTGGGGACGTGGCATGAATCTAGCTCATTTTGTTACAAATCCGTAACGGTACAATTTCGAGGTCAAGCATACTCGGCCTCGGCATACATCATGCTTCAATCTTCGAGCATTGCACTTTGTTCTCGAGCTTGGATCTAATCCCTCTAGCTCGAACTCTACCTTGCCTGAACTCGGGCTCATGACAATCCCTCGAGCCTATAGATCGTAGATATACAATTCCGACCGTATACAGATAGTCCCCGCATTTCTTAGAATAGGATGATAAGAAACGATTTGATCTTCGATGCTCCATAGCCTCGATTCCAACGCCTCGATTCTTATGTCAATCTCGTGATGTCAGCAGCTGAAGTGACTGAAAGGTCGCTTTCGTGCAGTTTCCAACGTCATTAATTGGAGGCGGCTGACGGTCGGCTATTTGGCTTCCCCAATACGCTTGAGTAGCCTCTACAAATAGGCCAAATTCACCATTTCACAAACTTTACTTCTTTAATCGTTTTCAAAATTTCATTAGCTCCTTCGACTTCTCTGAATTCATCCTTCTCTTTAGTGTTCCTTTACTTCATTTTCTCTCTGAATTTCTACACCATAATGGCCAAAACATCTAAATCTGTTCCGCAAAAAGAACAGGCCTCTTCATCATCGCGACCGGCCAAAAGTAAAACGGTGGTGCCACCTCGTATCGAGGAATGTATCCCCCCGCCGTGTGAAATAACATCTGATTTCAAAATTGAAAAACCTATATCGACACCAGGCCGATGTGAGCCCATGTCTCTATACATCTGTTTGATAACCAAGGACGAGCTTGAGCAGGTAAAGAAGGATTGCAACTGGGATAACAAAGATGTGGTGATTCCTTCCTCATAAGAGGACATTACTACCCATAAAGCGGGATACTTGAGCGTGTATACCTACACATTCACGCTGGGTTCCGCAGATCCAGCTCTGGGTCCCATTGATCCAGTTATCCTTGATTTTTGCCAACGATACCAAGTGACGCTCGGCTAGGTCTACCCTTCATTCTGGCGAATTGTCAATTTGATCAGATACTTTTCGAGTCAAGTCGAGGGGATGCCTTTTACCCTCGACCATCTGATTAGGCTGTATAGTCCACGTCTTTATCGAGGTGTCCTGATAAAGCTGCAACACCGATCCTCGAAATCTCTCTTTTCCAGTATCGATGAGGACAAAGACCGAGGATGGATGAGCCGGTTTGTCCGAATCAAGACCTCTGGCCTGATTTCTGCTGAGAGGATGTCGTTCCCGAGGAATGGAACATGAAACGTAAGTACATGCTTATCGATGATCACTTTATACCCTGCTTCCCTTTTTTTCCTGATTCTATGTTTTTCTCGATCTAACCCCTTTCCGATGGTGCAGCTTTTGCTTGGTTTCCTGGGGCGGTCCCAGACCTCGAAGATTGGGTCCGAAAACTGGCATCTACTTCTTTATATGTGGAGCTCTACTGGCGTGACCTGGCCAAGGGTCGATGGGAGGCTAAAACCCACGGTGAGATTTCTTGTTTGTTTACTTGTGTTTCTCAGTGAAAGACTTACTTCGTCTTTATGCAGGCCTCGGAGACGCTGTTGCTATGCGGCGGCCCCCGCCTGGTAAAGAAGAGGTCCCAAAGCCTTCCAAAGAAAAGTAAAGAAAGAAGGGGTCGCCTGCAAATCCCCCGAAACCCAAGAAAAGCGCGGCTCAAAAACCTAAGGCCGATACTGTGGCCTTATCTCTAGAAACGGCCCAACGCCATCAGGACCAGGAAGAAAGAGAAGAAGATGACGACTGCCTGTTGGTAGCCCGTAAAAGAGGAGGCACTAACGCTTCGAAGTCCGCCGAACCGATGGCAGCTGATGCGGTTCATTCTAAAACTGAGGAAATCTCCGAGGGAAGTTCGAGCAAAGTCCCCGAGCCATCGGACAGCAAAAAGGCACGTTGTCTTGGAGGTCATTTGGAAGGTGAGATCGAGGGGCCCGGTCCCGAGCCCCTTCAAATAGAAGAGAATGCCCTGAGTGGATCACTTGGGGTAATCAATGTGGATGATTCGCCGCCTGTTCCTGAGTTCTCCAAGGGGCAATTACGAGATGCTCGGAACATGAGAACTCCCAATATGCGGACAAGCCATGAAGGGCATGATATCTTTTGAGAATGCCTCGTAGGGATCGAGGATGGCCCCGACCCAGATGCTTCTTTTATTTTCGATGAGGCTCGTCGGCTCTTCAAACAAGTAAGTTTCTGTCCTTTAAGATTACGCTTGTGCTTTATCCTTGTTGTTATGAGTTTGAACTATCCCTTTTTGTGAAGGTCGTTGTGATCCATAAAGAAGCATTCTCCAAGTCTCGAGCTGAGCTTGATCGATGTGAGACCGAGCTTAAGAAAATATCAGAAGAGAGGGACGGTCTTAAAATCCTCTATGTCAAGAAAGAGGAGGAGATCAGCGATCTTCGAGCCTACCTGGCAAAGGCTCGCCAAGAACAAATCGAGCTTACTGAAAATGTAATAGACCCTCTAACGTTTTGTTATGGATTTGTCCGATCAGTCTACTAACACTTTTACTTTGCAGTTTCAACAAAAGGGCGAGTTGGTGGAGCAGCTCCGAGAGGAGCTCAAGATGAAGGAGGCCGAGACCCTGGGGTGGAAGCAAGGCATGGACAGTCTTTCCTATGAGAAAGATACTCTTCGGGAGAAGCTGACTTCACTCGAATGCCAGCTTCAAAGTGTGAAGGAGGAGAGCCTGGCTCGAGGCCGCAAACACGAGGAGCTTAAAGCTAAATCCGCTGCTGAGCTTGCCAAGGCCAAATTTGATGCCGAGGCAATTATATCTTCGTACTGAGCCGACGCTGAAGCAGCTAATGCCCGTGCAAAGGAGATCTCTGCTACGACCAAAGTTAAGTTATCATGTGCAGTTGACCACGCCAAGCGACAGTTTCGGAGAGAACCTCGAGGAGGTGCATGCTGGCGGCTTCGATCTCTCAGCCGATATTGAAAGGGAGAAGACTTTAGAAGAAGAGGTTGCCGTTTTGCTTTATGATGAGGATGACTCAGCTAGTGGCTCCGAGAGCGGAGGAGAGAAGATGACGTCCCCGAGGA